TATTAAATAAACTCTTAATTAAATTACTTACCTAAATACACTTTTAATCCGTACCATATTATAGAGTTATGTGATATGTAATTCTTGCATACGCTCTTTTTAAGTAACGGTTAGTTACTATCCCCTGCTCATCAAAACTTTCAAATGATAGTAAATCACAATTAAAGTTCTTGGAAAAGGACTTTGAAATTTAAAAACTTAGTGCTTGTTTATTTTTTGTTTTTAAAAAATAAAATTTATTTATTAAGATTAATTTTTTAGAACTATTTAAAAAAATATTTCATTTTTAAATCTAAAAAATAAGAATAACTATAAGGTGTTTCAATTTTTTTTTATTTCTCATCTTAAAAACAGTTTAAAAAACTAAAATAAAAAATAAATATTATTTTCATTTTCTTCTTAAAATTTTTTAAAAATTATTTTAAAATGTAATTTTTGAAAATTAAAAATCAAAACAAAAACAAAGAAGCTTTTATTTTGAATACATTCACTTAACTGTGACATTGCGTGTGAAGAAAAAAAAAAGACATTAGATAATAGTTAAAAATCATAACACATGCTTTCTTAATAGCATGAGTGTATCTTAGGGATGGTAAAGTGAGCTTAACTTAACTAACTGACTCACTTAATACACCCTAAATAGTGGGTTGTTCTAAAGATTTTACATCAAATGTGAGTTAATGATGGGACAAAACAAGCCAACGCGTTGAACTTTTTATTATTATTAAAAGATAGTTATTTATTTATATTATTAATATAAAAATATCATTTAAATAATTTTTAAATTTTATAAGATTCCATTAATCTTTTAAATTGACTTGGTATAGCTTATTGTTATTTGCTAACTCACTTTGGATTTTTTATCCTTTGGTAGATGAATCTGGTAGCCTGTGGACTCACTCTTGAATATGTAGAACTAAATATGTTATTTCACTTTCAAAGATAGAGTAAAGTGAGCTTATACACTTTTTAACTCTACTTATGTATCCATAGAAGTTTGATTATACGTTTTAAAAGCATATTATATAATATCTCTTACTTTTTATTTAATAAACTTTTGACAATATACAACGAATTAAAAACAATTTTATTAATATTTCTCTTCTTGCATGTTATGTGAGCAAGACATATACAGAATATCTGAAGCTGAAGTGGAATGAGTATAGAAGAGCTTACATTAACATGACAATCAATCAAATATTATTTGGTGGGTGTCACGTAGAAGTAGAAGGCTGGTTTGTCGTACATATCCTCTTATCCGGCATAGTTCAGTTACAAATACCAATCCCTCTTTTCTTTGGACAATCACGTTCATAGCTTGTGGCAGGGAAAATGCTGCTAATTAGCCACTTCATATCTAAGAAATTCTTTGTTCTATGTCTCCATTTTGTATCATTTAATGATTCTAGTCCATTGTTGTCACCAGAAACAATGTACACATTCCCACTCAAGACTTAAAAATGTTAGTAATATTTTTTTAAATATATTTATATTCTAATTAGTGGACTTTTATAATGTTAATCTTTTAAAACACATATTATAACTTCATCTGCCCTAAGAATTTCATCTCCAAAATCAAGGTAGACGTAGGATACTTGGTTTCACGTTTTTCTTAGTACCTCTTACGTGGTTTGATACCATAATTTTTTTTTATAAATTATAAAATTTGAATCCATAAGGCAGTGTAAGTAGTAAAAACTGCATGATCGTGATTATCCAATAATTTATCTTAGTTAACCCGAATAATGGTGAATAGATGCAGTGAATCTCATTTCAAGAGAGACAATTTTGTGTCGTCTGAGTTCTGATAATGCCAAACCACTATTTAATTAATGGGTGTTAGTTAGGAATTCGATACTATAGGAATCACAAATAAATAAATTATAGAAAATCAAAGAAATAAAACTAATAATGGGGACAATACATGTACCTACGTCACATATGTATATGTATATGATAATTAAAATTAATGGGTTTAAGCTCTCTTGGTCCTAGTCATTTATTTTAGTTTGATTTTCTTCATTGTAAGAAAATGCTTTCAATATATTCTTTTAGGGTTTCATTAACCTCATTTCTTAAAGTTGAATTTAAATCTTCATAAATAATTTTTTTTATAGAAAAAGTATATATTTATTATATTAAAGTTATAGAACTACAATAAATATTTTCTTTTATTATCAATTGCTTAGTTTCAATAGTCTTTAGAGCTGATTGCTTTTTTGGAATCAACATTGCATATAGTGTGGTTTAAGGATTGGAATGTGTATGCGCGGGTTCCTGTGTATTTAAGATCAATCCATTAACGTTGAATCAATAGCAACGAAGAACATGAACACACGATATGCCTGCAAGCTCCAGCTATGATAAGACTATTGCCAATTTTGAACACTTTACAGTTGTATTTTCTTAATCTATACATGTATCAGCTATATGCATCTAAATTCATCTCAAACACTTTTGAATTGAACTACATTCCATTGATTTTTCCTCAGCATTGCCAGCAACATCTTTTACATGGTGGATATGGAAAAACGTCATTTTTCTTTCATGCCACAATATGTAATGCCATTTATTTAATTCGTAAGTTAATAACTAATTGCAATTGTTCAAGTATTACATATAAATTAATAACTTTTTTTGTATTGCACATATATCAATTTTTAAATAATAATTTAAAATACATTATATATCTATTTTTAAACTCATATTTTTTTATATTTTAAAAATAAAATTATTAAATTATTAGCACTAAATATATAAAAATTTAAAACCTAAGTTAATATTAAAATTAAAAAAGTACATAATATAGAAAAAAAGCGTCCAATTGACATAGTAAAAAAAATAAGTAGTCTCTAAAAACACTTTCATTTAAAAATTAGTGTTTGGTCGATTTAATAAGGGAGAGTAAGTACATTGGTTCTACTTAAATATATAAAGCAACCTAATTATCAACAAGGTCCAGCACAGTTGTTAGATAATTATAGTCCTTAAGCATGTTAATAGAGATTGCATTCTTAATTGTGTGCATGGAAAATATCTTGTTCAAAGAAGCAAAACTCACTTTGGGGACTTCAACACCTTTAATAAAAAAAAAATGCAACGTGATTAGTAGGTCTAATTAATTGTTTTTATAAATCGAAATGTTTTATAAGTGGCAGAACGTTGGCACCCAAAAGAAAAAAAAAACCATCATTCTTTTATTATACCCACAATTAGTTTGCCTAATTACTTAAACCTTCATTCTTAAAAAAACTTTATAAATGTGTCTTTATTAAGAAAAAAAAGAGAGAAAAGAAATAAAGACACCGGGTGTGATTGTGAAATGAAGAATTCGATTTTATTTAAGCTATGATATCCTTTTTCCTTTTTTAATTATAAACCAACTTTATGAATGCATAATTGTATAAGAAATTCAATAATTTGTAAGCTTTTTAAAAAACATAAAAATAAAAGTTGATAGTAATGGACATATATCTCCTTTGAATGATATTTATGGTTTGAGATAAACATGAGAAGGAAACAATGTCTTAATTCCTAAGCTATGCAAATGCCGCTGCCACATATGGTCTTAGCTGTAATTTCTTAGTAGGTAAATGTTAAAAACTTTTAGTGTGTTTGGATTAGTATTTAAATGTTTATAAATTAACGTTTATTTTAACGTTATTAGTTGTAATTTTTGTATTAAATTTATATTTACAAGTTTTTTAATATATTTTAAAATACATACTTTCTGATTTTTTCAGATTTGTCTCTTGGCAGCTTCTTCTCAAAAGTAACTACATCCTTGCACATATTGTTCTAAACTAATAGCTCTTTTGTTTTTTGTTTCACGTAATTTATGCACTTTTGAGTGGATCACATTTTTGGGGATAAGGTGAGTGGGTCATAATATATTACTCAGTGTTTATTCTTGTTATTTCTTCACATAAAGAATGTGTGCTTTTGTGATAAATATCAACATTACACAATTAAATTAAATCAGACTTAAAGTGTTGTTTGGGTTGGATATAGTTCTCTTTTCATTTCGGCTTTGAAAACCAAAGAATTTTCACCTGATGTATACTATAAATCATTACGGCTTAAATAAAGAAGCTGAACTTTTCAAGGAATTATTGTTATTGCATTTTGTGATTAGTAAGTAATTATGAGACCATTAATTACTTAATTTTTAATCTTGGTATGGATTATTTTTGGAAAAATAATATCAACAAAAATTGAAATATACAGTCAATAGATAACTGAATCCCTTCAGCATGTTAAATAGAAAAAGATTTGTGATGATGAGTTTATAATTTTTCCTAAAATTAAAATGAAGAGCTACATATAATATTGTTTGACTATAGTTAGAGCATATAATTGATGGAGGTTACCACATCCACAGCTATGGCATAATAAGAGAGGAAGGTGACATCAAACTGTTGCGTGGAGAGTCACTTGGTGAGGTGTTTCTGGTCAAATTGAAGAGAAAAAATAACCTCAAAAAAGTGAAAAACGACACTGCTAAAAGCACGAAACCACCCCACAAGTTTCTTCATGTCACGGTTCTTTGAATCCAAAACAGAAACCAGTATTTAAGGAGTTATGCTTCACACAACACAGTATCTTCTTAACAACATCTTCACATTTCTCAGAACCTTTCTCCCTTCATTCCAATTCCTCTCTCCCTTATCTTCTCTTCGGTTACACACATTCTAAGTACAATTTTGTATTTCTAATCCAAAGCCTTTCTTTTCTTCCACTTCCACATCCTTATCCAATCTTGTGACAGGTTGGTTCCTTTGTTTTTATTACAATAATTAAGAACAAAAAATTATGAAGATAATTTCTAATCTTTCATGTGTGTCTAAGATCCTGAGTGTGTTGATTGATTCCTTTGTCAAATGTTTGAAAAGTGATTGTCTTGTCGTCAGAATCACAAATTGAAACTGATGGGTCTTCTCATGTGTTGTTAACTTGTTTCTTTGATGATAACACAGATGAACAATCTCAGAGGTATAATGGAAGATCAAAAGTTTGAATTGCCACCAGGATTCCGGTTTCATCCAACAGATGAAGAACTCATAACTCACTACCTATCACAGAAGGTTCTTGATAGCTGTTTCTGTGCTAGAGCAATTGGTGAGGCTGATTTGAACAAGTGTGAACCATGGGATTTGCCTTGTGAGTCTTATAACCCATGATTATATTTTGTTATTCAGCATTTTTATTTATGGTACATTAAATAAAGGTTTAATTTTTTTATTGTTTTTCAATGAAGGCATGGCCAAGATGGGTGAAAGAGAGTGGTATTTTTTCTGTGTGAGGGACAAAAAATACCCAACTGGTCTTAGGACAAATAGGGCCACTGGTGCTGGCTATTGGAAGGCCACAGGCAAAGACAAAGAGATATACAAGGCAAAGGCACTTATTGGAATGAAGAAAACTCTGGTTTTCTACAAAGGAAGAGCTCCAAATGGTGAAAAAACAAATTGGGTCATGCATGAATACAGATTAGAGGATAAACATCCTATGCATAATCTACCCCAAAAGGCTATGGTAAAGTTTTTTTTCTCTTTTCTATTTCAGTTCTATTATCTGAACACTGTATGTTTGCGATACTGTATACAATTATTTTTATCTCTAACTAAACTTTTATCTTTTTTATATACACTCATAAAAAATATTTCACAAAAATTAATGGGACAACATTTTTTGTCCCAAAGTTGTTGTCTACTGTTTCTGCTTTTGCTTATGTTTTCTATTATTTCACTAGTTGAGTTTGAATGTTTGTTAATATGGTTGTTTTTTTGTTTTGGTTTCCTTTCAGAGTGATTGGGCGATATGCAGGATTTTTCAGAAGATTAACTTTGGAAAGAAAATGCAAATTTCTGGGTTGGTGAGGTTCAGCTCCTTTGGAAAGGACATGCCTTCGTTGATGGATTCTTCTCCATACAACAACTACGAAACAAAAACTGTGATGGAAGAGTCATCGCATGTTTCCAGTTTCTCTGATCCAAATCAAAGTGAGGATCAAAGGACACATAATGACATAGATAATAGCTTTGAAACTCCTAAGTTGGCATCTTCATATTCTTCAAACCACTCTGATATTTCCCCTGCCTCAGGGACTTATACCAAAACTGCCCCTACTTTGTCCCACCAATCCACACAAACTGCACACCAAGATTGGAATTCAGATTATTTCATGGTTCAGGAACAGTCCATGTTGAGGATGTTGATTGAAAACCATGGATCAAGTACAAGCCAGAAAACTCAGAAAGATCAGGATAAAGACTTTGATGTTGACATGTCCTATGTGATGTACAACAACGAAATGTTTCAAAGATCATTTGGGAATCAGGAATATTCACCAGTTTCTGTAGGACATGTAGATACTGGAGGCCTGTGGAATTTTTAGGGAGGATATTATGAAGCTTAAAATAAAAGAAAATTTAGGGATTAATAGTAATAATAGTATACATGTAAATATATAACATTTAAGTTCAGTCATCCTATAAAGTACAGGAAATGTTTTTTTATAGTTTTCCAAAGTTGTATCATGGCTTGATAGTTTTATAAACATAGTTCCTTATAGTAGTAAATTTTTTTATGTTCCCTCATTCTCCAATTTTTTCAAGAATGCTTATTTTCTTTAAAATTAGAAGTTAGGACCGAAACTATATTTCATTTCAAATGAAATTATTTTAGCTTTGAATTTAAAGAGTAATATTTCCCCTAATGAATTGGAATGTTAACTTATTCGGTAGATTAGTGAGTGAATATTGACAAAAACAAATGAAAGCCGTAGGCAGAAGCAAAACTCAAGGCAAAGCCACCAAATTAGCAGTTGAAAAACAAAAGTTATCTAAATATGTTTCTGTATATTGAACCGAGTACCTTAATTTAGTTGTTTCATCCAATTATAATTTTGTTTAGTTAGTACTGCTAATGATTATAAAAGACAGTCCCTAGTGGTGACTTAGGAATTAATTTTATTGTTTTTAATAGGGGAATTGAATATAGGCACTCATATGAATATTTAATAATTAAAAAATATGACTGTAGAGAGGTTAGATCATGCTAATGCTACTGTTTATTGTAGGTAATTGTTTCCTAGGCCCGGTTTTCCCTTCCTATGATACATTCTGCTTTGTAGAAACTTGTAGTTAAAAGAGTGGATGAATGTGATGTATGAAGATGGAGCAAATAATGACTTGAGTTATAAAGACTTCAGATGTCTATGTACGGTCCCAATGTTGTTAAAATTGGACAAGTTAATGAACCAACTAGGCTTTCATAATATGGTAACTGGTGATTATTCCGTATTTTGCATAAGTTTAAACATCAATACAATCTAGAAATAGATAGATTAAGAGATAGATTTTTGTACATGAAAAAGATAAGGATACTCTCGATTAAAAGAATTTGAAATTTAATAATCAAAGAGTTTTAGAAAATACTAAAATCTCATATTAGTGCTTAGAAATCATAAATATTAGTTATATTATTTTTTGAAAGGGATTAATATGGTTAATATTGATGATTTTTAGGAATTAAAGTATATGTATGTATATATATATATATATATATATATATATATATATATATATATATATAAAAGTAAGAGAAGAAGATGTTTGATTTCTGATTTAAAAATAATTTTTTATTTTGTATTATATTTTTAAAAATAAAAAATTATTATTAAAACAGAAATCAAACATGCTTAAGTATTTAATTTTTTTTAATAGCTTAATAGTAAGTTATGATGGCATGCTTGTGAGAAACAAGAATTATCACATCTGTATTCCCTTCCTACGGACAAAAAAAATTGAGATTTTTTAGGATGAATTTGAGTGTTTACCGTATATATATATCTTGTGACTCATTTTTAAATTATATTGTCGGTGAGTGTAAGAGATACTAAGTGTATACATGAATTCAGATACATGCATATGCACTAAGAAGTTAGGACAATTATTCATAAGATAAAGTAAGTTCCTTCAAACTTATCTTTCTTTATTAAGCCACTTCTTAAAAAGAAAAGAAACCAAGTTTCCTTATACAGTATGTATGAAATTGGCCTTATTTTACTTTTTTATTTCTTGTTTCTTGCAGATACACCCAATTGGACACTGTTATTTCTCTTCATTATCTTTGTCGACCAATGTCTTACATTAATGTGTAGTGACACTTTGCTATGCATGTTTCCTATATTAGCAATGCTCTTAATTTCTTGCTTCTTAACCACACATTACAAGGTGGTCATCATTTTAATTTGTTTTGGACCTTTGTAGCAAGTCTTTGAAATGTTCTCAACGACACAAATTTTAGATGCCTAAATATTGTTCGTTTTACTTTCACATGGATAATAAAAAATTGCGGCTTTTTTATATAAATAATATAATTTTTAAAACTATTTCTTAAAATAAGTTTAATTAAGAACTATTTTTCTATCTGAAATTTGTTTTGCCATATCAGCAAATGTATTGGAGGTTCATGGGATACTATTTTTTTTTTTTTTAAATAGTATCGCATATATCAAAATGATACTCACCCATGTGATGACATGTGTCAAGTGCAGAATTAGTATTTTCTCTTTTTGGACGATAATATTATTCCCGACTTTGAAAAGATAATGCTGTCTACGTATCAAATGCGATACTAAGCAAGATATTGATATCTGACATATATTTAAAAATAATTTAAAAAATATTTAAATTTAAAATTTAAGATTATAAATTTTAAAAAATAAAATTAGAAATTGTAAGAATTTAATTTTAATTATAGTATTAATGATTAGTAAGAAAGGTTGTGATAAGTTTAATTGACATATTTTTCATAAAAATATATATTAAATTTATAATTGATTAAATATAAATATTTAAGATTTAAATTTAAAAAAATTAAAATCATGATTTTAAAAAAATTAAAATTATGAATATAAAAAATAATTAAGATTATTTTTAGATAATTAATACTAAAATTAAAATAAATATCTTACAATTTCTAATAGTATTTTAAAGATTTATAATTTTAACGAGGTAGAAAATTATAAATTTAATTTTTATTTTTATGTATGTTATGTTAACTAAACTTATTTTAACTAATTATTTTACTAAAAATTAATACTATAATTTATTATTCCTTATTTTATTTTGAAATAATTAAGATATTTATTTTAATTTTAGTATTAATTATTTTAAAGATAATCTTAATTATTTTTTATATTCATAATTTTAATTTTTTTTAAATTAGGATTTTAAATTTAAATCTTAAGTATTTATATTAAATCAATTATAAATTTAATTTATATTTTTATAAAAAAAATATATCAATTAAATTTATCACAACTTTTTTTATTAATTTTACAATTAAAATTAAATTCTTACAATTTCTAATTTTATTTTTTAAAATTTATAATCTTAAAATTTAAATTTAAATTTTTTTAAATATATACCATGTGTTAACATCTTACTTAATATTGTACTTAATACGTAAATAGCATTATTGTCTTAAACTTGGCGATAGCACTATAGTTTAAAAAGAAAATATACTCATTCTGTGCTTGACACATATCATCATACGAGTGAGTATTGATATGTACAATACTGTTTTAAAAAATAATAAAAAAGTAGTATCTATGTAAATTTTCAATACACTTGTTGATATGACAAGAAAAAGTCTAAGACAGAAAAATAATTTTTAATTAAACTTATTTTAAGAAATAGTTTTAAAAATTATATTATTTATATAAAAAAGCCAAAACTTGCATTACTGACAAAGATCAATTTATATCAATATTTTTTTATCTAGATTCATGTTATCAAAATAAAACTCTACTTTTGATTGAAAAATAACGCTTAAAAACAAATACATACTTCATTCTACGTATGCTAATACAATCTCACATGAATTGTGCTCAACTGATATTCTTTACAAGTGAGTTCCATTAAAATGCTGAAGTAACATTCTTTTCAATTTGTTTTTTCCAAAGCTGTTTCAAGCAAAGTGCACACAACAGAAATCCTCAAAAAATGGTTGAGCACATCTATGTTCCGTGTGATCAAAAAGGGCAAATACGAGATGGTATCTTCGGCCATTAATGGGGTTTTTAGTTTGGTCCTCTTTGATTCCAACGTTTTACTTTATACATAAATTGTAAACCTAAATTTGTAAGTAATAGAGAAACTTCTACATTCCGTGCGTAACATGGAGGAGGAGCTCGATTTGTCGTGGAGGAATTTGTATTTTATTATGGGTGTTCAATATGATTTATATGTAGTTTATTATAATTAGCAAGTCTTTATGAATTCTACGGGTATTTTAAAATAAAAATATTTTAAAAATAAAAAATGTTGCTATTATCAATAATAAATATTTTGTTATTTCAAATAATATTATATTAAAAATATGAAATTATGAGCATATATTATTAAACTCGAAATACATCATTCTTATTGATATGAAGTGTTAAAATTTAAACTTCAATTTACATTAAGAAATAAAAAGTTAACAAAAGATAAAATTAAATATTCGATGTAGACAAAATTACTTGACGTAATAAGGATAGAAAAACAAATTTAAAGGGGCTTTTTGTTAAAATTAAACGCTGAAATTTATGATATAGTGATAGATAAACTATATATTACATTAACCAGGCACCAAACATTTAAGAGAAATGAGGGTACACGATTCAATTCCTTTTTTAGCGATGACAATAAACATAGTTAGATTAGGATATATTATTACCTATATTTATATTTATATTTTTTAAAAATATGTACTTAAACTCACTTATACAAAAATAATAATTTTTTATATTTGTATCTTTAACTATTCGATACCTATATAGAAATATTCAAACCGATTATCCACATTTAGTTTTTTAATTAATTTGAATATATTCTATAATAATATCTTTATCTAACAATTTTTTTAAAAAACTATGAATGGTTTTTAATATTAACATAATGATGAAAATTTAATTTGAACATATTGATCAGAAGTATAATACATAACTTAATTAAAAAATGTAAATAGACTTTAATTTTTGTGTTTAGTGCATACCTTATGCAAAATTTAGAAAGTTAAGGTACCAATAAAAGTAGTGATATTCATGTAATGTCTATTATTTAATAGAGTTTTAGTGTAGAGAAATTTGACCAAATGCAAATTGATAATTCTATAGAAAGTTTGTAATTTGTGGGATATCAAAGATGATGATGTATTACATCTTTTTTTATATTATGATATTTTTATAAGAATGTAGTACATAATATTCCAATGATCTGATGTTGTAAATTTGTATAAGGTATTAGTGAGCATGTATAGAATTTGATGTGAAAAAAATAAAATAAAAGAGAGTTATAATTATGTAGTTTACAATAGTATAAATAATTTGTCTTCAACGAAATAATA